ATCTTCCCCAAAGGGGCAGGAGGGAACAATGTAAGCCTGGACCAGATAGCAGAGGAGGCTAACATTTTCCTTGGCCACACCAAGGTAGAAGAGCTCCACAAGATGGGTAACCACCCTGTACGCAGGATCTTTATCCATCCAGACTACAACCCTCAAGATGAGTACAACTTCAATGGGGACATAGCTCTGCTGGAGCTGAAACACCCAGTAACCCTGGGCCCTACAGTACTGCCCATCTGTCTCCCAGATACTACCAACACCACGTTCTACATGGATGGGCACCTGGGCTACGTGAGCGGCTTTGGTGTGGAAAAAAACTTTATTTCCAATCATTTGAAGTATGTGAGCCTACCAGCAGTTGCTCGAGAGAAGTGTCAGAGTTGGCTGGACAGTAAGAAGAGAGATATACCTATGGTCTTCTCTGAGAACATGTTCTGTGCTGGCTTCCTCACAGTCAAACGGGATACCTGCCAGGGGGATAGTGGGAGTGTCTTCGCGGTGTTAGACAGAGAAAGTGGTCGCTGGGTTGCTACCGGTATTGTTTCTTGGGGTATCGGCTGTGCCGAAGGTTATGGCTTCTACACCAAGATCCTCAACTATCTGGACTGGATCAAAGGGATAGTAAGGGAGGACAGGCTCTAAATGTTGCTGTCCTACTAGCTGAAGGATCACTGCTAGCATATAAATTTCCAGACACAGAAAATCATATCTAAAGCTTTTGATGATGTCCCAAAGGCTTTTCAAACACGCAGACCGTGTAACCTTCATCATGAGCACTTCCAAAAGCCACCATTCTGTTTGAATTCTTGGTGGTACCATCAAAACTTAGCAGAGCTGCTGTACCATTGGCAGCTTCTGGGACGCCTTTGTGGACGTTCTAGTTCTTCCAAATCTTATTACTGGATGAAGCCTTAATAATAGCTCATGACAGCAAACATGGTATTGTTTGAAGTGCTGGCGATAGCATCAGACTCCTGCAGTCTCCTTTTGTACTCTATTGTGTGGGAAGGTTGCAGGGCAGCAGACTTTCCTGAAGGACGTGGTACTTTGCTGAGTACAGTGTGCGTATGCCCATTGGCATCAGTGAGATTCTATGAATATTAAAATCATTGCTGGAGAAACCAGGTGTGTTATGTTTTTCTGTCTTCGTTTTTAACAACTGTGAAATATTCCCCATCACTGAAAGCAACTTACGGACTTTATATAGGGATTGCTTTACCTACCGCTAAAGTCTTTCCAGGTCTGCAACGGCATGTAGCAGTTGCTTACCTGTCACAAAACCACCATTAGCTTACCCAGTCTGAAACTCCAGGTGGCTTCAAGGGAGGCAAAAATGAGTAGTCTGTGTGGTGCCACATTCAAAAGACAGGGAAGCCAACAACCCATCTCATGGAGAAAAGAGCCCAGGAACCTTCACTGATCAGAATTTGAGGATAGAATTTATTTTATTTTTTTTTTATATGAAATAAAGCTCTGCAGGACAGCAGCTCCAAAATGATGCTGACTGGGAGAGAAGACGACCTCTGTTGTGTTGTGGGCATTCTCTGGAGTTGTCTCTTGACTAGGTTTGCTACTGCAGAACAACCTACCTTTTTCTTGTGAGTCACTGAGAGAACTGAGGTCTGCAAGAGCTTGACAGGGGAACTCTGCAGGTAAGGTCATAGTTGCCTTCTCGCACTGTTTTCTGTGAGATCCAGCTCCAGATCTTCTCAAGTGTCAGCATCTCTCATTTGCTTTTGAGATAATATACCCTGGGGAGTGATCTGTGCAATTGCACATCTGATATAAGTTCATCCATGTTCTCCAGGGGTCAGAATTCTGTTGATTTTTCCAATTTGTATGGGCAAGAGGGGAGCATGAGAGGCGACAAGAGCATGGAAAAACAAGGTGTCCAGTTGTACAGGAGCAATGGATAAACCCTGGTCTGGGGGAGGGAAGGGAGAATGAGGCATATGAAACTGAGGGGTATTCCAGGTGAAGAACAGGGAATTTCTGGGATGCTCAGTGAGTACAGGTGACAAGAAGAACAAAACACCCAACTTTTCAGTCCTTGTAAAAATTGGGAAAAATTACTGAGAAGCCATCTTAAAGAATCTCCCGTTTTGCAGGAGACTAGGAAAATTTGGGAAGCTGAGGCATGGAGAATAGATGATTTGCCCAAAATCCCTGTAGGAATCTGTGACCCTCCTAGGAATAGCAATCCCAGCTAAATAAGTGTCTTTCCTGTCTCCTACTCCTGGACGATTCAGCCACATTTCTGTTTCTCTTCTCTGCTGCCCTGAATTGATTTCAGCAGTTTGTCTTCCTGTCCTTTTCCAGAAAGATTGGAATTAATCAGTGAGCTAGTGAGTAATCGTGCAACACGGCTTGCCTGAGTAGCTTTGTGGTCATAGAAGCTCAGGAAGTGTCTTTTACCTTAGTTTGGAGGTCACTTTTTCAGAACTTAAAATGGATTAATTTTCCCCAAATTGTACTTTGAGCTATTTCTACTGCTGAAGTCTCCATCGCGTACCAAAGCAGAAGCGTCCTAACAGCCAGGCATAGCAGTCTAAGATTTCCAGTGGCTTTTGCTCATGATTACCCCAGATCTCTGGGCATGGCTGTAGGATTTATGAAATTCTAATATATACTGTGAAGTTACAAAATATCGTACAGTGGCACCACTGCCTCATTATTGTTTCTTTGCCAGTATATAGTCACTTCTTTGCACAAGAGGAACATGGGCTAAGATTGCAGCCTGGACTAGGTACCAGGGATGGACGCTTCCATTGCACCTGGGACAGGGCAACCCTGGATGTACATACAGCCTGGGGAAAGAGAGGCTGGAGAGCGGCCCCGCGGAGAGCGATCTGGCGGTTCTGGTCGATGGCAAGTTGAACACGAGCCAAGAGCATGCCCTGGCAGCCAAGAGGGCCAACCGTGTCCTGGGGTGCATCAAGCGCGGCATTGCCAGCCGGTCGAGGGAGGTGATTGTCCCGCTCTACTCTGCACTGGTGTGGCCTCATCTTGAGCACTGTGTGCAGTTTTGGGCGCCACCGTACAAAAAGGATACAAAGCTACTAGAGAGTGTCCAGAGGAGAGCCACGAAGATGGTGAAGGGTTTAGAGGGGAAGCCGTACGAGGAGCGGCTGAAGACGACCAAGCATAGGACCGAAGGGAACGGCAGGAGGATATGCCAGGGGAGGTTTAGGTTGGACATTAGGTAAAGGTTCTTCACCCAGAGGGTGGTGGAGCACTGGAACAGGCTCCCCCGGGAGGCAGTCATGGCGCCAAGCCTGACAACATTCAAGAAGCGTTTGGACAACACCCTCAGACACATGGTGTGAATTCTGGGGTTGCCCTATGCAGGGACAGGAGTTGGACTCGATGATCCTTGTGGGTCCCTTCCAACTCAGGACATTCTATAATTCTATGATTCTATGATTTTGTGCTCCAAAAGGTGAAAGCTGAGATGAGTCCACCTACTTAGCGACAAGAAGGAATGACTATAAACCTTCACACTAGATTAAAGTCGGCACATATGGATATAAAAGTGAAAAGCATTCAACGTCCTGTGGGTCACAGGTCCTCAGGAATGTAGTATAAGATCCTTGGTTACTAGCCCAACAACAAAACAACCTTTTGCTTGTCACACAAAATTGAAGGTGCTTGAGCTGCGTGCAGGGATCTATATGAAAGCTCCCAAGAGCTGCACATGTCCTCTTCACCATTTCCTGGACTCTCAGAAAAGCTTAGGCTGGAAGAGGAGGTCTTTAGTCCAAGCCACTGCTGACAGCAAGACTAACTTCAGAGCTTCAGGGCCTTGCCTGGGCAAGTTATGCAAATGTCCAGGGACAGAGATTCCCCAGTCTTTTCTGGCTCTTGTTCCAGTGCTGACCCACACCCCAGGAAAAAGCCCCAGTTGGAAATTCCCTTATTGCAGTTGGTGTCTATTGTCTCTTGTCCTGTCGCTGTTCACCTTTCTGAAGAGCCTTGCCCTGTGTACTCTCCAGCCCTCCTCTAGGTATCTGAACACAGCAGTTAGATCCCCCTCTTAGCTTCCTCCTTTTCAAGCTGAACAAACCCAGCTTCCTCCATCTTTCATCATATGCTATCTGCACCAGTTCCCTGACCATCTTAGTGGAAGGATATCTGTGAGTGATATAGGACTTTCTGGAGGAGAAGACACCCCTAACGCACGCCAGGTAATCTTCTCCCACACCACTACCTTCCCTAGATCAAGCAAGCTTTATTTCTTACCTAACAGAATAAAGTTTGAAAAATAAAGCCCTGAGGACAGGTGAATGAAAGGATTTTGAAGATGTCACTTCTGCTCGGCTTGATTCAGAAGTCTGAAGTCCTCATTGCTGGTAATGGTCGGTCCATGAGATGCAGCCATCTCAGAAGAACTTCATAAAGAGTCTCAGGTAGAGAGGTGAGGTAGCACAAGTTACAGCTTGACAAAAGCTGGCAGCGTAGTGAGTCACAATGTGACTAGACGCTTGATTTAGGGAGAGTCAAAGAGAACTAGGTCTAGACTGAGAAGAAGAAAGGCAATACACACACAACAGCACATTGCGCAAAAGGCAATTTGGTCATTCTTTAATGCTGTTAGATAGTCTGTACAATACAGGAAATACATAAATGAGAAACAAGGCTCTGAACCTTCCCTGGGAACCAACAATTATTCTCTCTTGTCTTCATTGAAATCTTCCTGTCAGGTGGGGTATGGCTAGGTCTTCTCCAAGTGGGAAAAAATTGGATAGAAAAAAATGAGAGGAAGCAGAAGGAGCCTCTTTATCCAGAATAGCATCCTCCTCTTATGCTACTATGAGTGGAAGAAAGGGAATTTCCCTTCCCAGACAAGATGACAGTGGGAGAAACAGATACATACTGCTGACTCTCCACTCAGCACGGAGACAATGAGTAGGCCCGTTACATACACAGAGTGAAGATCACAGCCAGCCTGAACGTGTAACCATCACATTTAGAAAGGGTGACTGTGCTGAAAGGAGAAAGAGCTAATCCTGCCAAGCTTCTTCATCCTCATGCTTGCTCATGGTCTCTGTAATCCAGTCCAAATAACGTGCTACTTTGGTGTAAAGACCAAAGGTACCACATCTTGGTCCCCAGGAGATCAGCCCGGCCACATAGTACCGTCTGTCGTCAAGAGGATCTGGGATAGCGTAGGCTCCTCCACTATCCCCCTTACAGCTGTCCTTGTCACCACCAGCACAGATCATATTGTCAGTGAATCTGTAAGCACTGGAATCAGCAGAGCCCTCTGGTTTCACAGATCGGCACTTATCCATGTCCACCACGGGAATCTGGGCCTTCCAAAGATAAATAGGCAGTCTTCCTTTCTCTCTCTGGCCCCAGCCGGCAATGTAGCCCAGAGTCCCTTCTTGCAGCTCATACTCAGGTGATTTACTAGGCAGACAGAGGGATGAGATGTTTGGGCCCATCTTCACAGGATCCCTCAGCTTCAGAAGTGCAATATCATTATCAAAATCGGTCCTGGTTTCTATAGGCTGCTTCTTCCAACCAGGATGGATGAATGAAGCCTCTGCGACCAGGTGCTTGGCCTCCCAGTACAGAGATTCTCTACCAACATTGATTACTCCAGCATACATGTTGGGCTTGTCGTATCCTTCCAGCACATGAGCTGCAGTCATTACCCATCTTTCAGCGATGAGTACGCCACTTCCTCTTGGGTAATCGAAATACACCTGCCAAGGAAAGTTGCCCTTTTCTGCAAGGGTGCCTCCAAAAATCTTTGCTTTCTCTCGGATGGGATTACTAGGCACTCCACAGACTGGAAAGAATGGAAAAAAAGAGGAATCAGATGGGAGAATTAGCAGTCACAAATAGGGCATTCTTTGGTACTGCTAAAAAGCCCATAGTTCCCTCCTTCCTGTGTCCTCTAAATCATTTTTTATTCTGAGTAACTGATGTTTATATTCTATGTCATAGAATTTCCAACTAGTATTTACAGAGAAATTAAAGAAAATTCAAGCAAAACTACTATCAACACTCAATTTAGGCTGAAAACACTTATTCTCAAATTCTTGTTCTGGAAAGCAGTTGTCACCCCGCCAGTGTCAGGTATGTCAAAGCTCACAATTTAATTGCATTCTAGTTAGCATTCTTCCTTTGATGACTTATGTCCTGTAGGTGAAGGGATTGACTTTGAAAAAATGTTTGCTTAAGTTCTTAGAAATGATTTTTTTTGGTGAACTCCAAATAATCTCAGGTTAAGTGTTCATGTTTGTCACTGATGTTTTACCATTTTTCCTCTCCGTTCCTTTAGTATGTAAAAACTTACGCAGTGGGTTAACGGAGATCTTATCTGTGGGTCTTATGGGCGCAGAGATGCTCCGTGCTCTTTGAGTAAAATGTTCTACGAGGTTTTGCAGAATGTGAGCACTAGGGGCATAAATAAGGCTGGTTATTCTGACATAGCTAGGAAATTGATTTCTTATCACATTGCCTTGTTTACGTTGAACCCTTAGTCATATGGTCAGAGACTAAGGAACTATAGCCAGTAGGTAGCTTCCAATTTAAATGAAGCAGAGTTTGTTCAAGAATTTCACGTAATCAGAGAAAGATTTAGGCTGGAAGGTCCTTTTCGACGTCTCTAGTTCAACCTGTTCATCCCTAACTGCCCTTCCCCCTTCCCTCCTAATGAACTGCAAAGCCAGGCTGCTCAGGGGCTTTAACAGGTAACTTCTGACCATCTCCAAGGGTGGTGATTAGCCAGCCTCTCTGGGCAACAGTTCCAGTGCTCCGGGGGAGCATTTTTCCTTAAATACAGTCAGAATTTCCTTTGTTGCAACTTGTGCCCATTGCCTGTCATTGTCTTTTATTGCTGTGGCCCGCTGAGAAGAGTCTGGCTTCATATTCTCCGTAACCTCCTCTTGGGTAGTAAATTCCCTAAGCTTTACCTTACAGTTTGCCTTTTGCACTGGGCACTTGTGTAGTCCAAGTCACTGGCTGAGCAGGCCCTTAAGAGGGTTGAATCATCTTCATCTGAATCTTATACTTTGCCAATGAGGATTCGGGGGTTTGGAGCAGTGAACAGGCATCATGTACAACCAGCCCTAGGCACGCTGCCTCCTCTAAGAGGGTAAGCTGAACAGCGTGCAAAATACATGGGATTTAAAATTCTCTCTGTTAGCTGGAAGTTAAGACCCAGCCATAACTACCAGCAGTCAGGAGCAGGAGTAGTAGCCATGCACTTCCCTCCTCAGTGTCTCCCAAGTCCACAAAGAGAAGATGAGAAGATCCTTGATAGGGATCTTGCTTGAGCTTTCAGGAACAGTAAGTGTAGCTGAATACTGAAGGACACATTAAACCTTAAAGGTTTAGGCTATGACTTCCAGCGAGCGTAGTGAAAGACCTTTCTCTGTAGTGCTGCATCTGTAGTGCCCAGTGGACAGCTGGGCACTACCCCCAGGAGAGGTCTGAAGAGAAGCTACAGCTCTCCATACAGCTTGGGAGGGACCGAAGACAGAAAGATCCAGCATTGTCGGACATCTCTTTTGATCTGTCTATCTTTTTGCTACCTGCAATGCAGACAGAGATCTAAAGCACTGAACAACTTGAGAATGTGCACACTTGAAGGTGGGGAAACTGGTGCAGAAACACACACTGATATTTGAAGAGGTCTTGTTATACCAGATATCATTTTGCCCACTTTTGTTTCCAGTTCCTTTCTGCTGCCTCATCTGACCTTTCTTTGGGGCTCACAGCTTTCAGAAATACCCTGTCCAATGTGATTCAAACAATATAGAAAGGCTCAACTGTACTTTCAGGCTTAACAGTTTAAAAACAGAGAGATGAAAGAAGCAGTGGTCTTCATACGCCGCGTGGACATATACACAGTTTTTGGTAGTACCTGGGATGCATTTTGGTAGCTTTGTTCCCATCTCTTCGTTGACCCATTCTCCACTGGCTGAGCACTGATACACCGCTTGGAAAACACAAGAAAAAAGAGTGCCATAAGGATACAATCAAGATGGAGGCAGGGTAAGTACCATTACTGTATAAGATACTAACCCTCTCATTTCCAAAGCAAGCACAACTTGGTAAACATTGCTGAGATGTCCCTAGAAGTATACAACCCCACCAGGGTGCTTCTGCCCTTATTTTGGAGGCACCTCATCTAACAGATTTCTTGAGTCCTTTACTTCTCCACCAGAAGCGTATGCTAGATGTGACAAAAATCTCCACGGTTCACACACCAGGCAAATGGAGAGAGGACTTGCTAATGCATTTCAGGTCAGCAGCCCAAGTACAGACATTATTAGAGTGTCTGAAACACAAAGGCAACACAAACCACTGCCTAAAACCCCACCCCAGTAAGAACTTTTTCCCAGTCTTGCCCTGATGGGATATAATCCCAGCCCCATGACAATGCCAGTACCATTTCTTAGGCCTTTGATCAAAGACATATGTTTGTGTAGCAGAGGCAATGCTTACCATCCCCTTTGTTTTTTAGGGTATAGTAAGGTGCATCACATTGATACCGGAAAGCAGCTTTGTACAGAGGCTGATGAAGTTCAGAGACGTATATGGCTTGGGCATTGGCAATAGGAATGGGAACACCACAGTTCACAGCTGTAGAGAAGAAACAAAAACGATGAAATAGAATCAAAGGGGCATCCTCACCCAACAATCTGATCATTTTGTATGATGGGGAACCACTCGGCTCCTCTGGTCCCTAGACAGCACTCAATTCTTCTGTCCCTTCAGCAAGCTCACATCTCAGTCCTTCAGCGTTCTCCTAATCTGGACACAGAGTGGATCTAGACCCTAAAGGCTCCATTCCAGTCTGCTTCCCACAACACAGAGACGGATCACTTACGAACACAGCTGAAATGGGAGTTGCTCCATTCACCGTTGTCCTGACAGCTGGAGTGAAAACTCATGATGCTGTCTCGTTGCTGGGGAAAAGAACACATGATCCACATAAGTCACTGGCCATGAAATATATCTGACACAGGCACTCCAGTAGAGGGTCCTCAAAATGCTGCAGTGGCTGGAAGAAGTTTCTGCTTACTACAGCTGTGGTGAAAACTTTGAGTCTCCAAAGGTGCTCAGGACACGTGATGGGAAATGGCATCAGGAAGCTGCTGAGAGGGCCAGAGAGGATATATGCTTTTTTAATGTAACTTACCGTCACAATTTCGTAGCCTTCTACACAGGTCACCTTCACATTGTCCTCGAAGATATACTTGTCCTTCTTTGGGTCAAGAACAGAGTTGGGGATGACACTCGGGGGACAGGTTACAGCTTTGAAGAGATAGGTGGAAATCAGTGATTAACTGGTTCAAGATTTGCTCTCCTTCCAGCTCCCAACTTCTTTCTCCCCAGTGATTATTTTCCCAGTAAACAGGCATCCTCTGTTTACTCAATACCAGCAGCTGTAAACATGTTAACATGCTCTTGTACCACGAATCTGACCTGGGACAAACTCTCTCGCTAACTCAGCAGCAGAGGGAATGCTTTCCCAAGTGTTTACTCACGATCCCCATAGTAGCGTATTTTCCAGCCCTTGTGCTGTACTGCGCGGTCTGTCTGGAAGATTATATCAAGAACGTTGTTCCTAGTTTTGATTTCAGGAGGACCTGGGAATTTGCTGCCACAATAGGGACCAAAACGCTGCTTTCCAGAGACAAGCTGGGAAAATAACAAACAAGAAGAAATGAGACACACCAAATGTATTCAGAGAGATATTTAAATATATATTCAATATACACATATTCAAATGTATTCCCAAGAACTTCAAAAGGCAGCATAGTTGAAAATAAAGTTAAGCAGTCAGAGGGTCTTCAGAATATGAGGAGATTGAGGGGAGATCCAGAGCATCTTGACTCCCTCCCTAAGCCCCACACCTACTGTTAAGCTGTCGTGGCAACTCCCTTTTGAGTCGGCTGGTTCCACATCAAAGTCCTCGCTGCGTATGGTCAACGCCACGAAGTAGCCTGGCCTCAGAGCCACTCGGTACTCACACCGCGAGTTCTCTGGGTACTGGTTGGGATAGTTGGGACTGGCAATCTCCCCTGATGGCTCAGTGAAGACACTTCCACTGCAGTTCACTAGGATTAAGGAAGGAACACAGGTAGGATTCAGAAAGGAAATGGTCCACGTATGAAGCTGACAAGCTTTCCCTCTTCCACTACATCTCCAGACTCCCCAGTCACCCACATTAACCATGTCACAACGTTGCATCGTTCCAAGAAACCGAAACCAGGACCACTCTCTATCCAATTAGCCGGGGACTTCAATTTCTAGTGGCCTTTCTTTTTACCTTCCTTCTGCGATTTAGGCCCCCTTCCCTCATGCTTGGGTCCTCATATTATACTCCTTTCAACATGCACCATTTGTGACTTTGCAATTTTTTGATTCAAGCCAAGCAGCCCCTTGGCCATTTTTGTGTCTTTATTGAACTGCCCTTGTTTTGTCAGACATGAAAAGATTCACAGATAGCAGTATGCTAAGAAGAGTCTCCATCACAGCCTTTAAAGAATGTCGTTTAGTAGTTTCTTCATTCTTTTGACACAAAAAAGAAGAATGTTAAGAATACGTTAACAGAAATGCCCAAAATCATGGTCTACTGCCAGTTCAGATTTGCACTGGGATTTTTTTTTCCCCAAAATATACCTGTCACAACTAGTTGAGAAGGTCTTCCATGTACAATATCTCACTTGGCCTAAATTAACTCTTGCTGTTGACCACAGCTCATGTAGATCTCTTACCTCCACATGTTTTCTTATCCTCATAGAGGAAATAGTCTGGTGGACAGGTACAGAAGTAACCTCCAATATAATTATTACAGTAATGACTGCAAGGTTCCTCCACAAAATCCATGCACTCATCCAAGTCTGCAAGTGTGAAAAGATGAATCAGCCAAGATTAGGAGAGGGCCCTAAGAGCAGGAGGAAGATGAGAATGTAAAGGAAACACTGGTGGACAACAAGGAAAAGGTATTTCTAAGACAGCATTTAAACTGGCCATACTGGAAAGCAGTCCTGTCTGCTGGGATCTCTTTTAAATAAGGCATTCTTCTAAGGAAAACCCTTCTTTCAGCCTTCCTCCCCCGCTAGCCTGGACACTACAGAGATTCAGAGGAGGCTGTTTTAATCTTACCCACTGCAACATAGTAGGCCGCAAAACCGGTGAAATGCTCCTCATTGGAAAAGTCTGATTGGAACCTCATAGTGAGGGCGTTATAGGGGACATGAAATTCCTCCACAATTGAGGAGCCAGGGGCACGAGGTTTCTTCTGCCCACAAAGCATGCCTTCAACATGGCCAGCAACCAGGATCTGCAGAGGAATGCAAAGAGGTCTTATTACTGGAATATGTGTAATTACCAACACTTGAGTCTTTCAGCTTATAGGTGGCTAACCAAAGGCTCCTAAATTGCATACATTTCTCACAACATTCAGGTAGATCTCCCAGGGCACAGCTATGTCACATAGCTAGCAGGAGGGACCAAGGCTGCTGTGTCATCCACCGAGCTGGCCAAGGGTGGAGGACAGCCAGCCAAGGTACAGCTGAACAGAGCCCCTAGAAAACCAGTTTCATGACATTTGTAAGGCGCTTGAGTAGTGTTTCCTTCTACTGACTTCCCAGCTGTGAAATACCTGTCTTAATTTCTCAGATACAAATCAATCCAGAAAGTTCTCTCTTAATGTCCTTTCCTCAGGCCCACTTGTACAAAAAAATCAACACCGTGGTTCAAAATGGCAAAACCAATCACTGATGGTCTGCAGAGCAGTCTAACAGGTTCACCGGTTTGTTGCAAAAGGACACATGTTATTACAGCTCCCAGCAGAGCACATCCATCCTACTGTCCCACCTTGGTCCTTCTCCAAGGTCTCCTTCTGGTCTCTGGTCTCCTTTTGCACCTGATCTTATTGCCCCTTTTCACACATAGCTATTGCAGGATTGGATGGTCTTGTTTCTGTCTGTTTGTGTGGAAATACCTAAACTTTTGTGCCTTGTGGGACAACATGGAGCAGAGCTAGTGGATCTCTAAGTTTTAAGAGATCTGTGGTGCATAGATCATAGAAAACTGGTGCAATGGACCACAGCTCTTCATCTGAGTGCCCACTATCCATACACAGATCTCTTGATTGTTTTTAATCTTCATTATTTCCAATCAATTTCTGATTGCATTAAATCATCTATATCCACTCATGGATTAATTCTGAATAATTTCAGGAACAGAAAAGCAATGCCCTAAGAAAATGGTCCTTTTATACCTACAGTTTACTGGCTAAGAATATGCCTTGCAATAGGGAGGTGTCAGTGATGGCTAAGGCGGCTTTTCCTATGAATACAGGAGAAACATGGGGAGGGGGGCTTAGATGGGACACTCAGTTGGCAGACAATGCTCATGTGGTTATGAGGCAAACTCAAATCAATTTAGCGACTGCTAGTGCAGATACACTCAGTCATTTGGGCTTCTTGGAGCTCAGAACACGAAGGATGCGTCTATCTCCTCTTCCAGCCCTGAGCTTTGTACACTGCTTTGCTGTTCTGTGCTCTAACCCGCCTTCTTGTCTTTTTCTCACTTGAGGACAGGGACAGTACCTTCACAAAGTCGTATTCGCAGTTCTGTGATGGTTCAAGATCCATATGTGTGAAATAAAGGCGAATGCCATATCCTGAAGGGACCTCGATTTCCCAAGATACCTGCACATCATTGGGATACACCTGAGGATAATTGGGTGACAAGATCTCACCATACATGGAGGCTGCGCCAGCCCAGACAGGGAGGCAGAAGAAGATAAAGTACCTGAGAAAAGAGGAAGGAAGATGACATTGCAGTAGTCTTCTCTGTCCGCATACGCACACAGTCCCCAGTGAAAAAGCTAGTCTTTGGCTGTAGATAGCATGCAGCATAGCTCCTGACTTTGGACTTTTAATGACCAACGCCGTGGCTGTGCGGGGCTTGTCTTTCTCCTGTAGCCTTTCACACAGAAGGAGTACAACCTCAGTCATGCTCTCTGCTCCTCTCCAGCTCTGTAAGAGCTGGGAATGCTGCAGGAGTTGAACACAAAGGTCTTAAGTGCTATTCCCTACTTCACTGCCTTGTTCTGGAGGCTGCTTGGGCTATAAATACATTCAGATTTAAGAATCAGTACAGTACTACAGGAAAAACATCTAATTTATAAAATGAAATTATTCATAAACCCGAGTTCCCCTTGGAGATTCAATAACTCACCACATCTGGAAAAAGCAGATCTCCCTTTCTGAAAAATTCCAGGAATTGGACTTTGGAGTTATGGCCTGGGACAAAAAAACAGTGTGATTGATTAATGTTGCCTGTGCTTCTGCATGTCTGCTAGGCAGATCAAGGACCCTAAAACCCCAGCTTGTGGCAAATACATCAATGTTTTGCCTCAAAAGCAAGTTTATACCTCTGTTCCTTCCTGCATATAGCAACCCCAAGCATCAAGAAGGGATGCTAGGCTCCATACTGACAGAATGGAGAGATGATCTCTATCTTGGTACTCACTGGTACTCCCCTTATGACCATCAGCGTCTCCAAACACCCTGCTGGTGCACAGCAAATTAAGATAGAAAGCACCTCCCCCCGAGGTACTCAATCCATTCTTCCCACCACCCCAAAAATTATGCTAAGACCCTGGGGTTGGGGAGCAACTTGTCCTGACTCTTCTGGCTGTCAGCCAGTGATGCTCAGGAATATTTGCCTTTCCCATTTCTAACGCTTGCAATATTTACCTTCTCTCCCTAGTCCGTGCCTGGTTTTCTTCTCTCTTCCCTTCTCTTTTCTCTCTTATTCTTTTTTCTTCCTGTTCACACCCTTCTCCAAACCCACCCAAGGCTGGGGAAGGGAGCACTAACTCGCAATATCGCAGCACCCTCTGCCTGTGGGATGCGACTTCCCAGCCTCCCGGCCTGGGGGAGATGCTGGCCTTGCGGGCTTTCGGCAGGAAAAGGGGAATTTCCAGCACAAGTTGCACAATCCTCTTGGCTCAGGCTGCGCAGATCTATTTTCGAGAAATCAGATGACTTTTGGGAAAAGGGAGGGGAAGAGAGTTTTCGGCTGCCTCTGCTCTCCCCTTCTTCCCTCTCCCTTTTAAAAGTTAGGAACAAAATCCAAAGGGTGTAGAAAAGGGAGAGTCCACGTGAGAACTGGTCCAATGCTTTTGCATGGAATAAAAAGTTTGATCATCCTGTCCAGCGACTGCTTTGCCCAAGTCCATGCTGTTACTGCAACCTGGTGGCCACGGGGCTGCTGCCACTGCTCCTCATCTGATGCTTCAGAGACCCTGTTTTTGGGGGAAAAAAAGGAAAAGATAGTGGCCTATTCCATGTTGTGCCTCACTGAGGCTACCAGCAGGAGTAAGAATGCGTTGTTTTCCTCGTTTTTGTTATGGGAACACTCCTGTAATTAAGAACTTGACTAAGAACTCATGACTACCTCTTTATTTACCAAGTGAACTTCATGTAAGAGCAACTGTTCATCAGACTTAGCTCTGGAGCGAGTTAGATTTAAGACCCTTAAGGAAAGGAGTTTCAAGACTTACGGCAGGTAGGACCCTTAGTCCAGCCAGTGCCCACGAGCCAAGACCAAAATCCCACCATACAAGCTAAAAGACCTCTCACTAATACTCTAGGTAACCCCTCCTCTTCACAAACCAGCTATACCAGGACCGGACTATAAATGAAAATTTAAAACTCTGTTACAACCCTTTACAATCAGCACAGCATGCTCCAGAACTTGTTTTGGCCAGGAAAAAAATGATTCAAGTTTCAACAGGCCATAGGCAAAGCGCGTTAGCAAAGCCCAGCCAAAAGACTCCTCTATATTATCACGAGAGAGAAACACCTACAGATGAATCATAACTGCCTTCATTGTAGTCAGGATAAAGGCTTTACTTGAAGAACATGCCTAGTCTGTTTTCTTTGTCAAACTGAGAATGGATAGAGAAAGAAAACAGCGTGTCATCTCACTTCTGCTGTCTCTTGGGAGCACAACACGATGTTTCTAACCGGAATTTTGAGAACCAGGAAAACACAACAAATCACGGAGAGACGTCTTCCTCTCCGAACCGGGCAAAGTAAAAACCCTGCCAGTGACTCTTTAAGTCACAATCCTATTTTCAAATGGGCACGGCAGAAGTAAAATGCGTGGGGGCTGATATATCATGCGTGTCATTTCATCGCAAGGGAATTGTATATTTTCATATAAACCTGACTCGACTTGTCTGTAGCAGTGGTAAATTACTGCGTGTGAATACTAATAATTCTTTAAAAGACTAATACCTATTAATCAAGAAAAAGATTGTCAAAGATAGTTAAATAAAAAGGAAGCTGCATTTTATATGGGCACATATCTGCATAATGTTAAGTATTTATGCAGAAGACCGGTGATATTGATGTATGTATTTACATTGAATACACATGCAGCATTTGATTGCATTTGCCTAGATCTGTATTGCTTTTACAATTCATAAGAGGAAACAGCTTGGTAATATATTTTACAATTCACTGAAACTATGTCAGAAGTTATATTAAAATAATAATTTAAAAGAGGCAAAATCATGCCATTAAAATTAATAAATGATAATATTAACTTTGCCAATGCAATATAATTCTGCTCAGAGGCACACACATTCTCTTAAATTCCTAAATTACATGACCACATACTACTTTTCCCAAATTGCATAGGACAAACCTTTTCTTAAGATGACTCAGAGCTGCGTAGCTGCAACCTTTCTGCCAGATGTTATGAAGAGCAGTAGTGTTCCAGTTTTCATAAAATTGCCATCTAAAACAGGCTCGACTAGCTTGTCTTCCCCCGGGAAGCTGGGAGAAAAAAAAACCTTTTCCCAAGTTCTTAATAAAAGCCACTTTCCCATCTGGAAACACTGAGTCAGTGCATAAAACAAAAGGAGTAAATATTAAAAGAGAAAATATAACATTAACTAGGCGAAATCCATCAGCAGGGAATCAAGGATACGTAAGTAGCAAGGAAAATATCCTTGATCCACCAAGACCTCGGCAGTAATTTGCCTGCTTCACGTTCTGCCCATAAGAGAATTCAGTGGGTTCCTTGCGCACCAGGCTCTTGCGACCTGGGCCCGTTTTGTTGTCACTGGTTGAATTCAGAGCCTTGGGTAAGCCCCGGGAAAACCTGCGCTGGCTCAGAACTGCTGGATATATCCCACTGATTTCGACCTCTGCATACCGTACCAGGAGGATTTTCACCAGAGTCCATCCACCTCTTTTACTCCCTCCAGCACCAAGGCTGAATGCAAAGCTCCCACAGCCTCCCAGTAAAACCTGGGACTTGGAACCATCCTGCTCCGTGCACTGTACCACACTGAGATGCCTCTTCCCTTCTGGATTCCCTTCCTCTACACCCCTGGATACAGCTTCAAGTGCTCTGACACAGCTGGAAATATCCCGCCGTGGGATAACCGGCATAGGTTCTGCCATGACCTTCCTAGGGATTTCCATCCTCACTGCCCGCATGGCTTCACCAGCGGTGAACCAGTGGCTGAAGAGGAACAGTTTAGAGTTTCGTCTGTTAGAGTAAAATGTTCCTAAACACTGTGGCTTACTTTAAACCTCAATGCTGTAAACTGCAGTGGCGGAGCAGCCGCTGTGAGAGGAAATGCAACATTTCTGCAGCAGGACCAGTAACTTCCAGGAGACGGCTAGCTTGGGCCGGCAGGAGTGACAAGATGCTTGAGCTTTCTCGGACGCACCAGCCGCTCCTGCCAGCCAAGGCAGAGCTGCCACGCCATGAGCGATGAGCGCCGCAGGTACGGGCGAGGGTCTCCTGCCTGTTTGCCCCAGCCTGAAGCTAACGGCGGAGGCCCAGCCCGCCGCAGCTCATCCCAGCAACAAAATGGATGTCACCGGGGTGGCGTGCCTGATGCTGCGCTCCCTGACCCCCCAAGGCGACACCAGTGTGTGCCGGTCACGTCGTGCCCGAGCTCACCCACCGTAAACAGGGGACACGAACTGCAACTCTCTAATTTCACGGAGGAGGGCCGAGGAACGGAGCCAGCAATGTCTGAAAAACAGGCTCTGCCATCACCTGTATTTGTGCAGTAATTTCCACACCAAAAAGGTGACTTGTTTTCAAGCACACCCTTCCCTCCCCATCTCAAACGTCCACCCAGCTTCCTCCGGCTCTCTCTGGTTTGCCATTCACCCACTCCTGACTTCTATTTCCCTACTGGCTCCAAGGCCTCCTACCCACGCTTCTAATGAAACCTTATTTTCATGTCTTCCCCTGCCTGTTTTTCAAGCAGTCACCCTTCTCCCTCCGTACTCCATCTCTCGCTAGTGGTGCTTCTCTCCCCACCCTCTCTGCGCTCTTCCCTTGACCCAGCGATTCCCAGCTGCAGACTTCAGTCAGATTTAATTTTATTCCGACTCTTGTTTTTCCAGTGTCTTCCTCCTCGTCATCAGTGTTCAACACTAAACTGCAGTCCCACCCACTCTCCAGTCCCAACTTGCCCCCTAGTAGCCTGCTCCTCTCCCGTGGCCATTTGAATCAGGATGGGCTCCCACGTTTGCCTGGGAGAAGAGGCACTGGCAAGGCAGGGCACAAGATTCCTGTTTCGGTTCCTCAGTGCAGAAGAAATGGTCCTGGAAGGAAAATCCTGCAGAGCTCTTGAATAACCATCTGGGGTTTTGTGCAGCTGCGGTCTGTGGGGAAGCTGCATGACCCACTTGAACACAGTCAATAAAAATTAATTTGCAGA